GGTTGGACTAGATGACCTCCAAGGTCCCTTCTAACTTTTATTATTATTAATATTATTATTACTACTACTACTACTACTACTAGTACTACATTATTGTGATTGTTGTTATCTAAAAGATCACACATATTAATTTAGTTCACCACTCAGGTCAGGCCTGCATCCTCAAATATGCGTAACGTATTTACATGTCTGCTGCCTTTGCCCTTCCCTTCAGAATGCAGGGGGTCCTCAACCTACGAGCCCAACATTTCCGTTGCTAAGCGGGACGGGTTTTGCCCCGTTTTACGACTTTTCTGGCCGCGGCTGTCAAGTGAATCACTGCAGTTGTTAAGTTAGTCACACGGTCGTTAAGCGAAACCGGCTTCCTTCCCCCCCCCCTTTGACTTGGTCCCAACAGAGGATCGCGTGATACCCCGGGACGCTGCGACCGTCGTAAATATGAACCAGTTTGCCAAAGCCATCTGAATTTGGATCACGTGACTGCGACGGACGTAAGTGTGAAAAAGGGTCCTAAAGTCACGTTTTTTTCAGTGCTGCTGCAACTTTGAACGGCCACTAAGGGAACTCTTGTAAGTCGAGGAATACCCCCACATCGAAGCCCTCGGCTTACAGCCCTCGGCTTAGCCCCCATTTGAGATGGCAACCCCGAAAAAAGCCAACTTGCAGCCGGTCCTCCTGCTTACGACCGTCGCAGGCGTCCGCACGGCCACGTGATCAAAATTCAGGCCTTCTGGCATGCACGTACGACGGTTTGCCGTCGGCTGGTGTCGTACGAGCGCCGTTTGCCTCCTTCCCAGCCAGCTGCCCAACCAGCAAAGCCAACATCTGCTTAATGACTGTGTGGATTCGCTTAATGACGTTGGCAAGAAAGGTCGTGGAACCAGGTGTGACTCATTTAGCAACCACTCTGCTTAGCAATGGAAATGCTGGCCCCCTCTGTGATCGTTGAGGATAGACTGTACTGTCGGTTCTTCTGGTAGCCAAAAGCAGACACGCCCCCTCCCTCTTTAATGCAGGGGTCCTCAACCGTGGCCACTTTAAGACTGGTGGACTTCAACTCCCAGAATTCCTCAGCCAGCAAAGCTGGCTAAGGAATTCTGGGAGTTGAAGTCCACCAGTCTTAAAGTGGCCAAGGTCGAGGACCCCAGCTCCAACGTACGTATTTCCGCCTCGCTTCCTGAAGGGCCTCCGATTCTTCCAACTTCTTAGCTTCGTCTCGGAATTTCTTGATGCTATCCTTCATCTCCTTGTTCTTGGCCAGCTCCTGCTTGATGTTCTCCACGAAGCCCGAGATGAAACCTTTCCGATGGCCGGAGGAAGAACATCTAGACTGAAGAGAAGGTCACGGTTACAGCTCACACAGCACAAAACCCGGTCCGGCCTCCTGCGCTCGGTTGCACCCATTGCGGGGAAGGCCGAGCGGAGAAGACGGATTATTATTTCCCCATGGAGGGAAATCTCAACTCCGACCCACCTCGCTCTCTCTCGCTCTCTCTCGCTCTCCCAGCTACGTCATTACTAAGTAGTTTTGATCCGTCTTAGACAGACAGATGTCCCTACTTCAATTTTAAGTTTAATCTATGAGAGCTGGATGAATAGATGGATGGATGATAGAAGATTGACTGGATGGATGGATGGATGGATGATAGAAGATTGACTGGATAGAGGGATGGATGATAGAAGATTGACTGGATGGATGGATAGAAGATTGACTGGATGGATGGATGATAGAAGATTGACTGGATGGATGGATGGATGATAGAAGATTGACTGGATGGATGGATGGATAGAAGATTGACTGGATGGATGATAGAAGATTGACTGGATGGATGGATAGAACTGGATGGATGGATAGAAGATTGACTGGATGGATGGATGGATGGATGGATAGAAGATTGACTGGATGGATGATAGAAGATTGACAGGATGGATGATAGAAGATTGACTGGATGGATGGATAGAACTGGATGGATGGATAGAAGATTGACTGGATGGATGGATGGATGGATGATAGAAGATTGACTGGATGGATGATAGAAGATTGACAGGATGGATGGGTGGATGGATGATAGAAGATTGACTGGATGGATGGATAAGATGGATGGATAGAGGAGATATAGATAGATGAGTGAGATAGAGGAGATAGGAAGATGATAGATAGGAAGATGATATAGATGATAGATGGATAGATGGATGGATGGATGGGGTCACGTTATGCACCAAAGCACCAGAGGGCAGGACGAGAGACAATGGTTGGAAACTGACCAAAGAGAGAAGCAACCTGGAATTATGGAGAAAGTTCCTGACAGTGAGGACAATTAACCAGTGGAACAGCTTGTCACCAGAAGTTGTGGGTGCTCCATCATGGGAGGTTTTTAAGAAGAGGCTGGACAGTCCCTTGTCTGAGATGGTATAGGTTCTCCTGCTTGAGCAGGGGGCTGGACTAGAAGACCTCCAAGGTCTATTCTATTCT